CAATGCCCCCGTTTCAGAGGCATTGACAGGCCTGGTGCTGGTGGCCGTGGCCGTGAAAATGGGAGAAATAGGAGTTGAGGAGGCAAATTATAACAATTAGTTGACAAGAAGATGCTTATTGATTTTGCTGGTCAAGTGACACTTTGGGGAATTTGAACAGTCTTTTTGAAAAGCATCCACCATCAAGAGAGATGCTCTTGACAAGACCATTGAACCCGAGGTCGAAACCAAACCTGTGGATTGAACTATTGCCTCCAGGAGTTCAGTGTCGGTGAACGCTTAATGAGCTGACAGAAATCATCGAGGCTGAAAAGTCAAGGAACGTGTCTTGAAGGTCTCATTATGGATAGATGGCGGAAGATGGCGGAAGTGCATTGACTTTTAATACGTACTGAAATATAATTCTCATATCTTATCGAGAACAAGCGCTGAGTTTGAGTTTTCATCACTGAGAGAAAGATGGTGGGACCAAATAAATGCTCAACTAAAAGTAAACAAACCAAATATTATTATTAATCCATTACTGCTTCTGTTTCCACTTCCTTATTATCCTTTTTCTAGTATTACTAAATGTTACACTTAGAAACGGATGTTTTTGGCATGATACAAATTCGTTAACTCCGTTTTTCCTAGTTAAATTCTGCTTTATCATTCAGTCTCCTTTAAGCCACATTTTTTCGCTGAAATTCTGAGCTTTTTTCTCTCTCTGCAGCTGTCACTGGATATTCCTGATGGCAACAAATCCTTATAAATCGCTGTGACACATCCAACTAACAGGCGACGTGCGAGATAAAACTCTTGTCAAAACGTATTTTATGGGCCCGGCCGAAAGCCTCTATGCGAGGCATTGAAAGTCGTCAAGGACCTGCGGCCATCCGTGGCACGTTGCCGTTGCCGTTGCCATTGCCATTGCCGTTGCTGCCTTAATAAAATTGATGTTGGTCGGTTCGTCTGTCGCCGGGCAAATAATGTTGTTAACTCATTTCTAGCCGAGTGTGTGTTGCGGTTGTCCCCACGGTCACATTTAAGGCCGGGCCCGCTGGCCACTCAGGCACTTGATGGTCTTGAGAGCATTTTTTTTGTCAACAGCTCGTCTCGGTCCGGCCCGGCCCGGCCAATGGGCGAATGTAATTAAGACCAACTAGTATGCGCGACGAGAGCGGGCCAGGGCCTGGTGCCTGGAATTATGCTTTAATTTGCGTTAAAGCTCGGCAAGTGTAATTACACCTCGACTTGAGCCCACCCCCGGCACTCTGGCAGATCCCACATATGTTTATTTACTGCCTCGAGAGCTTGGCAAATACTTGACGCTCGGCACGGCAGCATAAACAAGCAGCTCAGAGCTCCCCATCCTTGGAAGAATTCCTTCGCTCAAGCCGCTTAGTGCTGTAATTCTCTGGGCTGCCCACTACCCTCGGCAAAACTCAACTTGAGGCAAATTATATTGCTAAAAAAAGCAGAAAAACGAAAGGGGGGGTGGGAGATTCGCCTCCATCGGTTAATGATGCCGCTTTGTGGCCACTAAGTGTTTAACCTTGCAGACTTCGAGCCAGACTCCGAGCCAGACTCAGTCTCAGAGCCAGAGCCAGAGCCAGACGAGGCATCAACGACGACGACGACACATGTCCCATATTTTACATGCGTCAAGTCTCGCCGTTCTGCTCGAAGCACAAGCTTAATTTTCCTTGGCAAATAAGCTTAAGACAAATTTTTACGCTAGATTAATGAGTTCTTGGAATTGACGCGTTTTCGTGGAAAGGAAATGCGGAGCTGAAGGAAAGGAAAGCCTTATATCAAAGTGAATTTTCAGTATTCCCTTGGATTGAGCCTGGCGGCGACTGGCAACTCCTTAATAATCTACAATATTTCATTATTAAATTCGAATTTCTTGAGACCACTATTTGGCCCCTAACCCGCTCTGTATATTTCTGGCTACACTAAGTGCCATAATATTTGATGGCATCTGTTTGGCTTTTATCAACGTGTAAATATGCCAGGATTCTTTCTTATATATATTTTTTTTTTCAAATATTTGCAGCTGTAGCCCGACAAAATGCCAATTAATTTTGGCCTTTGATGGTCACATTAGCCAGAGCACCCAGGGTCGCCATTGTACAATATTTCTAGATATACATACATATATGCGTTATTATATGGCCCCACATGAGGTCCTGGCTAAAAATAGATGGAGAAATATAAGAATGAAGACCTTGAAACGGTGGCAGGAGTGCGTGGAGTGGGGCTGTGTGTTTGACTGAGGGCCAGTCTCATTAGGGCATATGTAATTACGAGTATGGTGTAATAAGCTGAGAAGTAATGTGCTCCAAGGATTTCTAGCACATCCCATATCCAGCATAAATATTTCTTTTCTGAATGAATTCCCATCAAATCACAAACAATGGCTCTGAGAGCATGTCCGGCTGCATAATACTCGCATGCCTTGGTTTCCTCGAGCTAACAAACAAACATAAAATGGAGCATTTTGTTTGATTCCTTCTCCTGCTGGCTGGTGGCTGTTCGCTCTTGGCTGTTTTCTGTTGGCTGTTGGCTGTTGGCCCGGCAATCGATTCAAGTCGGGAAAATTGTGGCCGGGTCCAGTTTGGCTTCATTCGGTTGCGGGGCAATGTCGATGGGGATAACGCTCGCAGTTCCCCCGTTCTCGTTTATTGAACAGCAACACTGCACTGTTGGCCCTGGTCAGCATTTTGACATTGGCTAACCTTCCAGTCCCAGTCCAGTTGTAATTGGCATATCTGTGTCAGAGGCATTAGCTCGGGGCCAGCTTACTGCTAAGCCAGGCTGGGGAGACGGGGACCCTATCTGGATGTTTATTATCTTTAAGGTGAGACATCAATATCAGCATGTATGCGGCAGCAAGCCACTTCTGTATGATTTACTTGTGTTAACAAAGGATTTGAGCAGATGAAACGCAATCACAGCAGCATCACGGTTCAGCAACAGGCTGACAAGGATGACCGCTGGTCAGACAAAATCCTTAACTAAGCTATTTAAATTTCAAATCATAGCAGACCCCTTTTGCACCAGTTGTTATGCCTGGGGCCAGCACACACACGGTACAAGTATTACAGAAAATACTGCCAGCTCAGGTTCAGGGACCTTTTTATGCCAATGCTTTTATCTTTTATTTTTCACTTTCTGTTTTCTGTTTTCAGTTCTCTGTGTGACAGATTATCATGGAAAATATACACGCTGTTGGAGATTCTATATTTTTTTAAATTTTGCAACTCTTTATTGCCGTGCAAATAGAAATAAAATCGGTTCAATTGCTTTAAAAAATTGACGATTCGTTTGATTTCAGGAATGTACTGATTGAAATTGTTCAATTTTAAGCCAGCAGTTTCGGAAAACTTTATGGGAAGCCCCATTTTTTGTTCAGTGGGCTTGGGTCTTTCCAAAACAAGCTTAAATTGATTGTGGCAGGGCATGGGCTATCATTTTTTGAATGCGCCTGTATGGAATTTCAGGGAAAACTATGCATACATCATATCCCTAAGCCCTCGCCAGTTGGCACTCGTTTATTTGCCCATCTAACCGCTGTTGCCACAGATTATTGCAAGTTTCGTCAAAAGGGGCAGACAGACAGTCAGACAGACAGACAATAACCCTTGACACTGCTCTTTGTCAGCCCAAATGCCATATGTTGCCGTGGCTCCTAAATACGACAGTGGAAAAAGTTGCTCCCTTTTTGCGGTCCTCGCAGGCGACTCATTTAAATAAACCCAAATTTATAGCATCCACATACGCACGCACGTACTTTGAGTGATTGGCCCGCTTAAACTTGGCTCACACGGCTCCAGGATTTGTGGGTGGTGGTGTGGGTGGGTGTGGGTGCGGGCAAGAGGGTCTCGAGGTTTGTCGGATCGGATCGGACTGGTTTGGTTTGGTGTGGTTTGGCTGGAGATTGGCTCCGTTGAAGGGGCTACTTCCGTCCCAACAATGGTGTGATTTATACGATGGGGCGTATGGAAATTTCATTACATTTTTATCGCAGCCTCTCCACGCTCCAAGCAAAACCGAACGGAAGTTTAGTTTAATCGAAGTTGTTGTCACGATCCGCCCTGGCCCTTGATTGATTGCCCCCCATTGATAAGGAATGTGCTCCCTGTGCCCGGCATGCAAATGACTCCCTCCATCCCTTCCACGAAAACTTTTTCTCTCTTGAATTTTTCTTAATTTGCAGCTGGCAAATGACATTTGCCTTTTTATTGTTTGTCGCTGCCGCCTGGCTGCCTGGAATGAAGTTGGCCTTTTGCCGCCGCCGCCGCTCCAACATCGCATTTCTCATTCTTGGGATGGGGAAATTGCACCAAATTGAAATTTGTTTCAACAGGCAACAAGGCGCTGGCAGCTGCGACTCCAAGACCCTTAGCTCAATCTTTTTCTTATTTGCGGAGCTTCATCTTTTGTTAAATTTTTGGCAAAGAGCGAATTTAGAAGAAAATCCTTTCTGTACTTTGTCGCAAAGGCGTTCGCTTTCGGGCTTGGGAAGAGTAGACCTTTACACTTTCAGAGGGTATAATTATAATTATTCCCATCAGTTTTAAGTGCAGTTTTGTTTTAGTATACTTCTCTTCAATATCTGATTAAATTTAAGCTCCTTTACAATCTTTAGTTGCCCTTGATTGGTGTAGAAATCTTCTTTATTTCTTATCCTTTCAGATTCCGCTTTAACCCCACCATATTTGACCAAAATCAAACTATCATTCTGCAAGGGTATCTATGGTAACAGTACACAATATTCAGCTTCCCCTTTTGTTGAAATTGTCTTTCATCTGCAGCTCCAGTTACCACCCACTCCATAGACAAAGCAAAAGCTCTTTGGTGGCTCTGGTGTGCAAATATTAGAATTCAAATTGAAATCGAAGCGTACAGCTGGGTCTGGGTCTGCGTTTGGCATTGGCATTGGCTGGCGAGCATGATTTCGATAAATATATTAGTGGGGATATAAATTTCCATATTCATTCCTTTCTCTTACTCACCTCATAAAAGTAGAACGAATTTAAATTGTCCAATTCGCCCGAGTGGCCCGCTGTCGCATTGTGGATCGCCTCCGACATCGCATCTAAGTCGTGGCCTGGCGCCGCTGTCGTCTGGACTATTGTAGCCGACACTGTCGCTGTTGTTGTGGTTGTTGATGGCGCCAGCATCACGTGTGATATTGCAGGTGTAAAAAATGTCAGATTAACTGCGCTGCCGAGGGCGGGCGGCGACCCGGCCCCACCTATCAGCGCTAGCTGGCTGTCATTGCCCGCCGGCTGCTCCCACTCGGACTCGGACTCGGACTCGGACTGCGACGCTCCTGCCGGGGCGGGCTCTGAGGCGGAGGCCAGCGTGTAGTAGACGGAGCTATCGAATAGCCTCAGGTGCAGCATATCGCGGCCGTAGATACTGTCTCAGCTCTAGGCTCGAGCGGTGTTTGCCATCCGCCTGGGAAAATGAGAGAAATTAAGAGAGTATTTAAAGTATGGCTTAATCGGCGTGCTGTACTGTGCTGTGTGAATGCTTAAAAACCCATAAATCCCGAATGAAAAGCTGTGTAATAAATGCTTTAAGTACTCTCCCGGCAGAATACAAAAACATTTGCTTCAGTTAACATGGCTTTTCTGTATGTACTCGTTTTACGGGGACCCCCAGGTGTTGCCGAGCACCGGATTGTTGGGCTGTTATTAATATCGCCCATACGCCGCGTGTGACTTTTGTAGTGGGGTGGTTGCGATATACATAATGGGCCAAAAGCTGCTGCTATTTTTCGAGTTTGTTATCGCATGTGGGTGGAACCTAAGAGAATATTTCCGATAGCAATTATTAGGGCTTCCTTGAACCTAAGACCCCAACCAATGGGCGCGTTCAGTGATTTGGAATAATTTATGACACCGCGCGCTTGTCAAATACTCTCATAAACGTGTCTCTAATTGAATTAGTCACCCACGCACGCGACTTGACCCCTCTGGACACACGGACAACATCTCCATCTCCGTCTCCTTTCATGAATTTCAACAATTAGCTGCGAACAATAGACCTTTTAACCCCAAATGGGGCTGTCACGTTTCAGCCCGAGATACAGCTCGGAACAAAGGATTACTGCTAAACCTTGAACCTTGCCTCACTTGGAAATTTATGCATGCATATGTGCCTCTGTCTGGCATCCATCTGTGGCCGTTCTGCTCTTTGACTGCAACTTTAAATTGATTAAACACAACTTGGCGGGAGGCCACAAAGACGTGTCCTAAATTCTCAAATAAATTGTGTTTAAAAATTCAAAACTTTTGTTGACTTCAGCCAGGTATTTTGTTCACTAATGCCAGCACGCCACTACTTTGGCCATGATTTATACCGAAACCACACACGCGCGCTCGCACGCACACCAGCAGAGAGGAGAGTGCCGTCTGGGTGCCCCGCTTTCTTTTCTGACACATTCAATTTGGTCACCCACAGCAGCTTTGTGGGGCAAGCGGCAGGAAGCAGGTGGATTGAGAAGCACCACATGTTGCCACTTGGATTTATTTTCTGAATTTATCATTATAGCTCAACGGAGGGTATTCTAATTTTAATCGGAGTCTGGAAACGCATAGAAGAAGGCTATGCTGTTATTGACTTGTAGAATCAATCGGGCGATTTTATCTTTTTTATAGAAAATTCTCTTGGCTTTACAGTTGATTATTTTTGTTAACTGTGCATACAATTTTTTTTATCCATTTAAAAAAGATTTTGGTAGGAAAATATTTTTTTTTACTTTATGTACCTTTACAAATTGTACCTTTACATTTTATCAAATAAACAGATCATCTGTTTGAGTGTTCATTTTTCTATAACGCTTTAGTTATTACATTTTTCCATATAAAAAGTTAGTTTACTTTCATTTCGCTTGGAAAACACGCTTTCATATTCATGAATTTTATAAAAATAAAATAAACAAAATCCAAATTTGATATCCATCAGGTAAGGGGACAACAATACGCCGAGCACCAGTTGCAGTAAATCATCACAAAAAATTTAAACTTTGTTCTACAACAATATATGTTATTTGCTGGAATAGTTGTTGGGAAATATTTCCCCAGCAACTAATGAAACTTACATAAATTGTCTGTAAAAGAACAATTTGTAAAAGAGTTTAGAAGACAAAGAATTGAGCTCAGCAGCAACTTGTCGATGGCCTCTGGCAAATGCCCGGGGCTTAGTTCTTCATTTTCGATATTTACATATGGAAATGGCCCAAAGAGCTTTCAAGTATTTTGGCTGGCGAATCAAGCCCTTTGGGCTTTGCATAAGTAGATTTTGGTATTAAAGTTTTAGGCTGCTGTTAATGCGCATTTAATTTGCATGCAAAATAGACTAAAAACGAGGGGGAACGTTGTGAGTTGCTGCGGACACCGCAACTCTACGGTTATACCCGATACTAAGTCAGTATGGCTCTCCTCCGGCAGACGCCGCTAATATTTAACGACACGACAAAGAGTGCGTGCGAGAGAGACAGAAAATCAGTCTGAGCGTGACGTCGGGCGCTGCGTAGCCACTGCAAATTGATTTCTTCCTTATGGCTATAAAAATGATCTGATCTGATCCAGATTCAGCAATCTGATAGATATGGTCATTATCTATGATTCTGCGTTTTTAGTTTTCTCGAATCTGCAATATTGTGGATGCAACAGATTCTCGTCCTTTGTGGGGGCGGAAGGGGGTGGGGCGAAATTCTGAGATATACGTTTTATAGTGACATCTTAAAGGAGTGTGTGTACCAAATTTGGTTACTCTAGCCTTAATAGTCTCTGAGATTTGTGGTTGCCTCAGATTTTCGTCCTTTGCGGGGGCGGAAGGGGGTGTGGTGAAATTTGGACACGAAACGGTCAAGGTCCGATATCACAGGAGTGTGGATACCAAATTTGGTTGCTCTGGCTCTTATAGGTTCTGAGATCCTTGAACTCATATTTTGCAATTGGCAAAACCGACCATGAAACCTGTGTGTTAGAGTGAGACAGAGCGAGAAAGAGTGAAATTGTTTTCGTGATTCTGGCTGTAATAATTATACGATCTGGTTCAGATTTTGCACTCTAGAAGATATAGTCATCTTCTACGATTGTGCGTTTTTAGTTTTCTCGTATCGTCGAAATTGTGGATGCCACAGATTTTCGCCCTTTGTGGGGGCGGAAGTGGGCGGGGCAAAGTTTTGAAATATTTTTGGAGCAGTGACATATCACAGAAGTCTGGATCCAAAACATCGTTGCTCTAGCTCTTATAGTCTTTGAGCATTAGGCGCTGAAGGGGACGGACAGACGGACAGACGGACGGACGGACAGACGGACAGACGGACGGACGGACAGACGGACAGACAGACATGGCTCAATCGACTCGGCTATTGATGCTGATCAAGAATATATATACTTTATGAGGTCGGAAACGATTCCTTCTGGACGTTACACACATCCACTTTTACCACAAATCTAATATACCCCAATACTCATTTTGAGTATCGGGTATAATAAGTCTAGAACACCTTTCTCCAGATCGCAATACTTATTCGGGCTTCTGGCATTGAGTGAAATTTGATTGACATATTTTGAGTAAGCTGACAAACAAACCAACACTTTTCTTGGCAGCCGAATTGACTCGAGCCACTGCCAGTGTCATTTTGGCATAGTCGTTGTCACAATTGGCGCTAAAACCTTCGAGCGGCATTGAGTTTGATTGTGAAATTGCTGGAGCGTTGACAAGAGGATTGCGTCTATCCCACACCACGCCGATCGGCAGTAGAGCTTCAAGCTGACAAAGGAGCATCCTTAAAGCTTCAGATGCAGATTAAGATCCCTCGGAGCTGAGTGCCATCAGTAAATGGGAAATCTCGGCAACCAACTTGGCAAAAGTGGTTCTCTTTGTTGGCTGCATATCGTTTTGGGAAACTTTGTGCAACGTTGCGTATGAGTCATAAAAGTCCAAAGCAGCTGGCTTTTGTTCTTCCACAATGCCACTTGCTGCATATTTATGTTTTTCTGTTGTTCCTTCTCTCTTTGGGTGGAAAAGCATTATATAAACCATTACGCTGTCTGCTCCGGAGTCACTTTTAATGTGCTCTGTGACAATTGTCGAGCACATATTGCACGGAGAGAAAGAGAGCTGGAGGAGGCGAGGCAAGAAGAGGCAAGTGGCGTCACCATGTTGCCTCAAAATGAAAAATTGATTTCACTGCAAAAAATATGGCATGGCAGAGGATGGCACAAAGTTTATTGGGTCACTCTGTCCAGTCCACTCCGATCCTGCTCCTTCTTTGCGTTATGTTTATGGACCGGACAATGCACGCAGCCCCGATTCCCTGTATGCAATTGCAGTTCATGGCAATCAGCGTCATAACGACCAAAGTTTAGTATTTCATTTCAGTTTTATGGAGCGTGACACGTGCTGGCCACATAAAGGATAATTGCCTGTGAGTAAGCCAACTGGGAATGGGAATGGTAGAGAACTGGAACAGGAGCGCTGGCACAGCCACTGAAGATATTACTGTCTGCTCATACGGGATATATTTTAATTACGCCTGCATTCGTCTGCCACATCTGATACTTTGATTGTGTGAGCACCAGACTAATTGACAATTTGAAAACCATTTTCGGATCAGATCAGACACTGTAAACTGTCTCTACAAATCCACTCAAGAGCCCCCGTCTAAAGTAGCCAGTAAATTTAAATCTAAACGCCAGACAGAGTCGCACGTTGCTCTAGAAAGCGGACCCAAAGAAACAAAAATACACGAAAATTCCAAATGGTGGCCGTAACTGGATATGCAACCTCGTTTAGGTGTCTGAAAGTGTTCCTCGTCTCTCCATTTCGTTTTCGAGGCATGGTTTTCTGTTCTGTTTTCTGTTTTGTTAAATTGTAAATAGACGAGCCGAGCAAATTGAAAAGTTGAACATTCTGGGAGATGGCTAGTGAGGCGCCCAGGAATGGTCCCAGTTGGCTAAGCCAAAAAGGCCGACTCGTCGCTTCAAGGAGGTGGCAACGACGACGACGAAGGCTGTGCCATTGAATGGCATTTTATTTTATTATTACACACAGCATGCTCGCTTGCTGCTTGTGTATTTATATTCAAATTTGTAGCACCTGTAAAACAGTTTGCGAAACAATGAAGACGCCGCCAGACATCGGTGAGGGAATGTCAGCTGCTGCTCCTTCAACCTTTCTGCCTGTACAGTGTACACCCGCCAGAATGTTAACCATTTGTGCAAAAGTTAGACAAATGTATGTAAATGTTGAATGCGTGTGCTGGGCAAAAATGCCGGCAAGACGTTTGCCACACGAGATTAAGTCCTCGGTCTCCGGTCCATGACAAGTTTAAAGTTCGACTTTCTTATCGGCCGGCCAGACATTATGAATGGAACAGAAGGGAAAACTTGACGTACACGCGCTGGAGGTGAGCTTCAGCTAAAGCCAAAGCCATAGAC